AGCTCAAGCTAGCCTTTAAACTGAACGAAACGTTTTGAGTTTGTAACACATATATAATGTAATAGATAATATACAGCTCAAAAATCTTTAGGCTATTGAAGTAATTTTCTTGTGTTTTTAAAATTTAACAATGAAAAAGAGATTAATTTTAACAAGTACATCATAATTATTATCCAATGGTTTCCCGACACACATCATTTTGGATTCAAAAGATAGCATGAAATGTTCCTTCCGATATTGCTTTAAACTTAAATGAATAAATTACAAAACGGTATATCATTTTCTTATTGGTTAAGTTTTACATTTAAGATTATAACTTCACGAGAAAGAATTAATAAGCAAGGTCTTACCGATGACTGATGGCGCTCTGTGCAACATATAAATTCGGCGCCTCCCAACCTACCCTCCTCCCCTTGTAAATAAATCTTACCATTCTAAATATTTACCATGCCTCATATAAACAATTATAATTCTTACAAAATACAGTTTTCAAAAAATAATATCACGAAAAGAAAGTTAAAATGGTTTTCAATATTTTTTTTTGGTCATTGTGAAACTATAAGATTAACTTAGAAACTAAAATGTTAGTTTGAAACTAGATAATAACTTACGTTTGTAAGAGCATATTGCATGGGTGCTGGAGCACAAGAGTAAGTCAGACTAGCAGTAGTTGTTATGGCAGTCTTAATTTGTGATAGCTCATTTGGGAACATAGCATAGCCCACCTGTAAAAACACCAATATCATACGGCACGCAGAAGGTCAAAGTGTAAAATTCAAAGTTTACAGATATTTCACAAACGTTTATCTACAATCTGGAATATAACAAATGTAAATTTTACGTGTACGATAGAGAACTCACGTTCATATTTTTTTGTTAAAAATCAAACTTGATCAAAATTATACTCCCAATTGCTGAAAAACTGTTATGTTTCGTTATTTGGAAATATCGCTGTATATGTTTCCGATTAGATGGTTACCAGAACAGTTCGTTCATCTAGAAGAATTTCTAAAAACAAAAACAAAAAGTTATTTTGCGTCACTTCTATCACATCTGTCTACAGACTTATAAACGCTAAGACCCGGAATTCGATTCCCCGTGGTGAACATAGGAGATAGCCCAATGTGGCTTTGCTCTACCAAAAACAAACAGCCCCGTATGACTTAGTGGTTAGGGCAATCGACTCGTAATGTGAAGGTCGCGGTTCAAATCCCTGTCACAAAATATGTTCATCCTTTCAGCTGTGGGGGCGTTATAATGTGACGATTAATCCCATTATTCGTTGGTAAAAGAATAGTTCAAGAGTTGGCGGTGTTGACTGGCAGCCTTCCCTCTAGTCTATCACTGTTAAATTAGGGACGGCTAGAGCAGATAGCTATCGAGTAGCTCTGCGCGAAATTCAAACAACTCAACAAAAAGTATCATATCGTGAAAGATACTGGAACATGACAATTCTTACTATAATGTCGTATAAATCTTTGTTTTCTCTACTAGATTAGAAACAGGGGCACATCTATCACTCAGTTCAAATAAATTGCTCCATGCTGTAATAAATTACGATACCGAGTAAATTTAGTCTCTAATATCCGGCAGATGGAATTAGTGAACAAATACATTGTAAAGTTAACCTAATAATTTTAATGCGAAAATTTAAAGCTTAAATCATCGTCACAGGATATTAACATAATTTCTTCCTCTTTAACAAATTCATCTTTATTTGATACAAACTGGATTAACTTACTCTCCATCCTCCGGCACTGGCCCATTTGGAGAACCCAGTACAAACAATGGTGCCCTCTGGATAGAACTAGAGGATAATTAGCATAATTACTGTTATTTCCTGAAACAAATTATAATTTCAATAACTCTTATTCTCTAAATCGTAAAAATGCCTCGTTTATTCGTAAATCTACTAACAAAATGAGAAGTAATTAAGTGAAAAATATTTCAAAACGCGAAAACGTTAGTTGATTTCAGTATTATAAATAAGACGCACTAATTTCTAACTATTTCTTTCACTCTTATAACTATATAAATAAGCTACAATAGAAAGATGCATTAAAAATATTTTACCAGGAATTGAGAATATTATTTACCTAATAGTTCAGTAGTTAGAAATATTAACTTTAACAACTAACCAGCGACATCGTGAAATTATAAGGCTGGTACGAAACTATTAGTTGGATGACTACAAACCAAGCTGTAAGACTAGTGGTCAGCTACTGGAACTATTAGTTGCGTGGCTACACAATAAGCTGTAAGACTAGTGGTCAGCTAAGGGTACTATCAGTTTTGTGACTACCAAACAAGCTGTAAGACTAGTGGTCAACTTCATGATGAGTAAACTAAACATGTAGCTGTAAGAGTGATGGAGAAATGGGTAATTCGAAAGCTAAATTATTAACTGCAAGACAAAAAGATATTTGGGACGCTCTCCATCAAGCTTTAAGAGTAGAAGTCAACTACACAATAAAAGAGCTAAATATCAAGCTGTAAGAGTATAAGTCACCTACACAATTAACGATCTAAATATCAAGCTGTAAGAGTTTTAATCAACTACACAATAAAATAGCTAAATATCAAGCTGTAAGAGTATAAGTCATCTACACAATTAACGATCTAAATATCAAGCTGTAAGAGTTTTAATCAACTACACAATAAAAGAGCTAAATATCAAGCTGTAATAGTAGTCAACTACACAATTAACGATCTAAATATCAAGCTGTAGGAGTAGTAGTCAACTACACAATAAAAGAGCTAAATATCAAGCTGTAAGAGTATAAGTCATCTACACAATTAACGATCTAAATATCAAGCTGTAAGAGTTTTAATCAACTACACAATAAAAGAGCTAAATATCAAGCTGTAATAGTAGTCAACTACACAATAAAAGAGTTAAATATCAAGCTTTAAGAGTAGTAGTCAACTACACAATTAAAGAGCTAAATATCAAATTTTATTGTGTAGTTGACTTATATTCTGACAGCTATATATTTAGCTCTTTTATTGTGTAGTTGACTACTACTCTTACAGCTTGATATTTAGCTCTTTAATTGTGTAGTTGATTAAAACTCTTACAGGAGCTAAATATCTAGCTGTAAGAGTTTTAGTCAACTACACAATTGACGATCTAAATATCAAGCTCTAACAGTTTTAATCAACTACACAATTAAAGAGCTAAATATCAAGTTGTAATAGTAGTAATTAACTGCACAATTAACGATCTAAATATCTAGCTGTAAGAATGTTAATCAACTACACAATTAAAAAGCTAAATATCAAGCTGTAAGAGTAGTCGTCAACTAAACAATTAACGAGGAGTAGTCAAATAAACAACTAACGATCTAAATATCAAGCTGTCAGAATATAAGTCAACTACACAATAAAAGAGCTAAATATCAAGCTGTCAGAATATAAGTCAACTACACAATAAAAAAGCTAAATATCAAGCTGTAAGAGTGGTAGTCCACTACACAATAAAAAAGCTAAATATCAAGCTGTAGAGTAGTAGTCAGCTACACAATAAAAGAGCTAAATATCAAGCTGTCAGAATATAAGTCCACTACACAATAAAAAAGCTAAATATCAAGCTGTAAGAGTGGTAGTCCACTACACAATAAAAAAGCTAAATATCAAGCTGTAAGAGTAGTAGTCAGCTACACAATAAAAGAGCTAAATATCAAGCTGTCAGAATATAAGTCAACTACACACTAAAAAAGCTAAATATCAAGCTGTAAGAGTATAAGTCAACTACACAATAAAAGAGCTAAATATCAAGCTGTAAGAATAGTAGTCAACTACACAAAAAAAGCTAAATATCAAGCTGTAAGAGTATAAGTCAACTACACAATAAAAGAGCTAAATATCAAGCTGTAAGAGTAGTAGTCAACTACACAAAAAAAGCTAAATATCAAGCTGTAAGAGTAGTAGTCAACTACACAATAAAAAAGCTATATATCAAGCTGTAAGAGTAGTAGTCAACTAAACAATTAACGAGTAGTAGCCCAATATACAATTAACGATCAACTACACAAATGACGATCTAAATATCTAGCTGCAAGAGTCTTAGTCAAATATACAATTAAATAATAATCTTCAGCAAGACAGCAGCCTAGCTAAACTTCTGACCGACAACTTCTCTATATTATTTCCATTTTTTTTCAGTCAATACGATAATATACACAGGATATAAAAGCTGACCTTGTAGAGGCTCACATGCTGACCAGTATAATGGAGGCGGGCATAAATTTCATCGCTCAGCACAATGATCTTCTCCCGTCTAAAACACTCACTGGAGTAATCGAAAATAAACCCAAAAGTTTTGTTATGATAAAAAAAATATTTTATTTCCGTAAATATGTTGAAAATTAAATTTAACGACTAATTGTATGGTGAAAACAAAGTAAACCAAATCTTAAGATTTCCCTCAATATTTAAATAACATCTTAAAAGAAAGATAACTGTTTCATAACTTAATTGTAGTTATGATCTAACAACACGCGAGGTTATTAAGAGGAATTTTAACTTAAGTTATATATCACAGATAGAGATCACGTATTATATAACTTTGCTTGGTTAATCGTACACTTTATTAAAATATTTAATATGGCTACTTCGTTTAGAATCTCAAGAGAAAATTCTGTATTTATATAATTCGTTCAGCTTTGACACAAATATTAAATTGTGAATTATATATCGTACTATTGTCAAGTATATAAAACCACTAACCCTAATGCCTTCAGTTCTTCTTCGGTATACGCAACTCCAGCTGAAAAACATGTGTTTATATATTGAAAAAAAGGAAACAGTATCGAAGCTAAATATTTGGTAACTGGCATATATATCAACTGCACAAAATAATCAAAAATTAACTGGAGTGTATCTGATATATGACAAGGCAAAAACACTGCTGTAAAATAATATCACCCTTCCACCTCAGATAATCTTTATATAAATCAGAAATCTGATGATCCGTCGTATGTGAAAGTTTGGTACAGATAACTTTACAATGTACGATATTCCACTTCAGTATGGAGTATGAGTACCACAGGGATCATCATATTGGAACAGATAAAATTGCTTCTTTACAATGTACGATATTCCACTTCAGTATGGAGTATGAGTACCACAGACATCATCATATTGGAACAGATAAATTTGCTTCTTTACAATGTACGATATTCCACTTCAGTATGGAGAATCAGTACCACAGATGTCATGACATCGACAGAGTGTTGATAAGGTCCAGCGGCATCTTGGATCACTCCTCTGAAAGAGCTGTTTTCAGGGCACCTTTAGTGTTTAGGGTAACTACACAGGATAGAATCCATCATCTAAGGTAATTCCATATATGCTCATTGAGATTGAACAGCAGCGAATGTGTGTATATCAGTTTCTTTAATCCAATCACCCCTATCTTAATGACTGAATCGACCAACTTAGCTTGATAGAGGTAGACGATATCGTCCATTAGACTGGGATCAGTGCAATTACAGTAGTTTAGCATAATAGAGATAGATGAGATCAGGGTAATGACACCAGTTTAGCATGAAAGATGTAGACGTTATAGTCCATTAGACTGAGAACAGGGTAAATATTGTTACGTCTCTGGTCGTTTGTTAATTTCCCTTTTAATTTCTTTCAGATGAAACTTTAGCGACACAAGTCCCTTTTTAAATAAAACTAGTTTATTCTTTCTCAATACAACTTTGCAATACACTTAATTTCTACAGTCACTTTATCTTAAACATATGCTATAATTCACAATGATTCGTGCACTTTACTTACGGTCACTACCGCGCTTGACCCAAATGTCCGTCTCTGTCCCTGCCTGTATGCAATTATCTATGCCGTCACTTTTTACTGGTCTTATATATACAAAATAGAGGGCGTCTGGCAAACATTCGAGCCTTCAGGAACCTTCTAGATACTCTTTACGTGATACCAATGTCACGTGACTTCCGCTGTTGTAACACTACCCCTTCCTTAGTATTGTTCGTCCCGAACAATAGCCACTTAAATTAGACCAATATATAATTAACAATAACTTAATTAAATGTACATAATTTACAAACACAAAATTAAAATTCAACAAAGTATCTTAAATTTACGGGACGTATCTTCTTCCGTACTGGTCTCTGTCTCGTTGGCTTCTGCTTTGCGTGAGGTTCATCTGCTCCATCAAAACATGTCCTACTATCGGTAATAGTCACATCAGTGGTAGTAACTTCATTAAGGGCTTCACTGTTTCCCTTATCAAAACTGGGTAGAGTTTATTCTTCGACAGTGACTTTTTCAGGTAACAAGTCTTCAGCAGCGTCATTTGTTCCATTGTTCCCTTCATTGCAACTGAAATGTTCTGGACCATGATAATGTCAAAGCCTATTGCATGCACCACCTTTGGCTTGCCTCGCCGACCACATTTTATTTGGAAAGTCACGTCTGAGAGACGATCCACTATGTCATATGGGCCTTCCCCTGGAGAAGACAACTTAGGAGACTTCCCTTTAGTCTTCCTTGGATTATACAACCACAGCTTGTCTCCTGGTACAAAGCTAACTTCAGTAGATCTCTTATCATAACATAGCTTCATGGAATCAGCAGACGTTTTCAAGTTTGAATGCACTTAATGGTGAATATCATCCATCCTTTCCAATAACACTTTCACGAACTCTGACACATTTTCAGGCAACTCTTCAGGTGGGCGTCTTGTTAACAGATCCACTGGCAATTGATGTTCCCGACCAAACATCAACTTTGCTGGAGAGTATCCAGTGGCTTCACTCTATGCTGTTCTATATGCCATCAACAGTGGAGGGAGTAAGACATCCCAGTCCTCTTGGCGGCTATTACAAACCTTTGCCAATTTCCTGTCCCAGTGTCCAGTTGTACTTTTCTACCATCCCATCAGACAGTGGGTGAAGTGGCGTTTTCTTGGTCTTTCGTATGCCAAACAACTTGCAGCATTCATGGAACACAGCTGATTCAATGTTACGGTCTTGATCTGAATGCAGTTTGTATGGCATACCAAATCTGAAGAAGAAATCTCTAATAACCGAAGCTACTGTTGTAGCTTCCTGATTTGGTATTGCATACGCCTCAGGGCACTTGGTGAAATAATCCATCACCACACAAATGTACCTGTTTCGAGCACGGGTTTGGGGCAAAGGACCAGCAATGTCAATGGCCGATCTTTCCATTGGTGCGCCAACTTGATATAACTTCATTGGAGCACGTCCCTTATGCTTGGGTCCTCTTTTAGCACAAGACATACTGCATGTTCTGCACCATTCTTCCACATCTTGCCTCATACCTATCCAGTAAAATCTCTGTTGTAGGTGACTCAATGTCTTCTTAACTCCGAGAGGTCCTCCTGTTAAACTATCATGGGATTGATGCAGCACAACTCCCCATAACTTTCTCGGTATAACAGTTTGCCAAGTCGTCACTTTCTCATCTGCAGTTTCTTATCTCCAGAGAAGAATACCATCTTCAAGCTTCAACTAGTCCCATTGTGCCTAATAGTTCTTTGTCACAGGGCTTAAGCTAGACACTTTCTCCCAAGCAGGGCGCAGAACACTTGTACTTAGGAAATCAATCATTAGCTTCAAATCTTGGTCTTTCTCCTTTTCTGCTTTGATATCTATATTTGGTTCCACTTCACCATCATCAACTCTTTCAGTCACTTTGACTTCAGCTTGATGGCACCTGGTTA